GGTTATGCATATATACATATGAGTGCTTTGGTTAATCTCTCCCCACCCACTCCCCCACCCCTGCTTTCCCTCTGAGATTTGTCAGTCTGCAGAACAGATTTCTTAAACCTGAAGTGAATGTTTGATTTTGTCAGTTATTTTGAAAATCAAATGATGGGGATGTTTGATTGGAAAAGGCATGAAGAGTAGTAAAGGAACTTACTACTTGAGGGTAGATAAAATAACAGAGATGCTAGTTCTGGCTCTATTTCCCCTGCCCAAAGCTGGTAGGGCATCAAGTTACTGCACCGCCTGGAACAAAATGCAGGTGCCTCAGTCAGGACCACCAAGAGCCCTCAGCTGGTTGGTCAGGAAACTCAACCAAGCACGGTTTTTCCGGATCAGCTTTGGGGGACCTCAAAAGTTGGTTTTACAGAAGCTTTCTTTAATATTCTCTGTAAATCAGTTTTGGCCTGTTAGGATCTAGACTTTAGGGTAACTAATCTGCTGAAAGGCACTTTGGGGAAAATTACAAGAATGCCGAAAGAAATTTTGTATTTCTTTGAGTTGATCTACCCACAGACATAACCAAATTGCTTTATTTTGGGGATTGATTAGCCTGCCTTTTGAATTTATTCAATTTCTTTTAAAAATATTACCTCCCAATATAACTTTGATACTTTGGTGATACAGGATGTTTGATTCTGAGCTCAAAATAACTAAAAATTATGGCTTAAAAAAAGCTACTTCCCCCTCATTTCAATCCCTTTGTACAACTAAGCATCTGTCTTCTTGTTTGTTCCTAGGATGGTCCAGATTCTGCTGGAGGAAACCGGACAAAGCAGGAGAGTGCCTGGCTATTTAGGCTGTGGTACAGCTTTGACCACAAGTATCCTTTGAAGTAATTTCCCTGAAACATTGATAATGAAATCCTCTTGTTGAGTTGCCAGTGAATGACTTTTGACAAGTAAGTAATGACGTGTGCTTGCTACAGTGTAGTCAGTCCTCTCTTGGGACTCATACAGTGATCATTCAACCACAGGTAATCCTGGTAAGCATCTCTCTGGCCAAGAGGAATGTTTGTACATCATTAGGTTAGCCAACTCATAGCCAGGTTGACACATGTGATTCTTCAGAGCTTTGTGTACAAGGGGAATATACCTTTGGAAGTGAATTGGTGTGGTCAGGAAGGGAAGTGCAACTTATGTACTTAATCTATATGGGGAGGTTAATTTCTTTCTTAAATTTATCTTTATTGTTAAAAGTATTACAGATGTCCCCTTCCCCCCCCCCCAT